TATTTTGGTGCATAAGGTAGGGAACAAATTCATTTTTCCCCGTATTAATATCCACTTGTTATAGCACAATTTATTGAAAAGTCTCTCCTTTTCTCACTGCTCTTTAGTGCTACTTCTGTCATGAAGCAAGTGTCCTTATATGCATGTGCCTATTTGTGGGCACTCTGTCCCATTGGCCCATTTGTCTGTATGCCAGTACCATACCGTCTTAATTAAAATAGCTTTGTAATAAGTCTTCATATTTGGTCGAGTGCATGTCCTCTCGACTTTGTTCAACAAATTCTTGGCTATTTTTGACCTTTTCCATGTCGGTATCAACTTGAGAATCCGCTTGTCAGTTTCCACACACAGGAGTTTTGATTGGGATTGCATTGTATCTATAGATCATTTAAGACTTGGCAAATTTACAATTTTGAGTCTTCTAATTCATGAACATGGCATATTTAGGTCTTCTTTAATTTCTCTCAATAAGATTTTATAGCTTTCTGCCTAGAGGGCTTACACATATTTTATTAGATTGATTTCCAAGTATTTGGTTTTTTATGCTATTATAAATCATACCATTTTAAGCATTTATTTTCCTGTTTGTTGCCATTATATTGTAGTAAGCTTACTTATTCATTCTAATAATTTATCTGTGAATTATTTAGGATTTTCTCCATAGACAATTATATCATCTATGAATAATGGCCATTTTATTTCATTATACCTTTTATTTATTTATTTATTTTTTTTTTTGCCTTATTGTACTGGCTAAGACCTGTAGTACAAAAAGAAGTGGCAATAGTGGGAGTGCTTGTGTTGTAGATTGAATTGTCCCCCAAAAAGATATTGAAATCCTAAACTCCAGTATCTGTGAATGTGACCTTATTTGGAAATAGAGGCTTTGCAGACATAATCAAGTTAAGATGAGATCATACTGGAGTAGAGTGTGCCCTACTCTAATAGGACTGGTGTCTTTATAAAAAGAAGAGAAGAGACAGAGACACACCCAGAGAACACCACGTGAAGATGGAGACAGAGATTGCAGTGCTGAGTGTACAAGCCAAGGGATACCAAAGATTGCTGGCAACCAACAGAGGCAAGGAAGGATCTTCCCCTCAAGCCTTCAAAGAGAGCCTGGCCCTGACAACACCTTGATTTTAGGCTACTGGCCTCCAGAACTGTGAGCCAATAAATTTCTCTTTTAAAGCAACCTGGTTTGTGGCTTACTTGTTACGGCAGCCCTAGGAAGCTCATACACCTGTCTTGTGCCCAGTGCCAGATGAACAGCTTTCAATGTTTCACCACCAAGTATGATGTTTGCTGCAGATTCTTTTGGGGAATATCTTTTTTCAGATTAATAAAATTCCTTTCTAGTCCTAGTTTGCTAGGACTTTTTGTTATCATATGTTTGATTTGAATTTTATTAACATTTATTGAAATCAATTGAAATAATTATATGATTTTCCCTTATTCTGTTAATGTGATGAATTGCATTGATTTTCAAATCTTAACCCAAGCTTGCATTCTGGAATACAGCCAACATGTATTACTAGATGTGGTTTGCTAAATTTTTTTTATTAAAAAACTCACCAAAAACAAACAAACAAAAAAGGCTTTCTCCTAAAGTTTAGGAGAAAACAGTAGGTAAGTGTGGCCCTGGCTTTCCAGGGCAGACTGCGTTGATCACCCACAGGCTATTTTGATGTTAATGGCTAAATTTGCTAATACTATTTTCAGGATATTTGCATCTAAATTCATGAATGAGACTAGGCTGAAATTTTCCTTTCTTGGAATTTCCTGTCAGTTTGTATATCCCTTACCATGAATTGGCAAATGGTAGCTGTTTTTCCTATACTCTTAAAGGGTTTGTACAAGATTGCTGTTTCTTCCTTAAATGTTTGTTTAAAGCCATCTGGGCCTGGAGTTTTCCTTATTGTAAAGTTGTAAATTATATATTTAATTTTTTTAATAAACACTTCTGAACTAGTTTTATGATTCAGTCCAGTGAAGGACTTAATGGCTTCCCTCCTCAACCCCACCCCCAATAAACAGTCCAAGTTGTGCAGCAAGCTAAGGGTAACTCCCAGAGCACCTACCCCACTAGGTGATTGTGTATATTTATCTGTGTTCATTACTG